GAGTTTCAAGGAAAAAGAGCATAAACTTTTCCCACCATAAAAACGTAGATGACCGATAGCGACGACTACAAACGTTTCTATGCTGTTTCTGTTTATTTCGACGAAGTTAGAACAGATGTTCGAGAGAAAAAAATGTGCTTTTCGCTTCCGTCCCACGAATTCTGGAACAAAGGAAAGCGAGTGATCCTTGATTAGACAACAGCATTCTACCGACTGAAATATTTGAACTTAAGTAGATATCCTGTCAAGGATGCTTGGACTCATTTGGGTGGTATACGTTTTATCCAGTTTTAAACCTAGTCTGACGCGTTAAAACGATGCAGTGTAAAATGATGATATCCTACAAGGTTGTCGACATTTTAAGATCAAACTCAAAATTGATTCGCTTGTGCCACAATGCTGTAATGCTGCAAAACCCTTCCAATCACTTTATCTACGAATGTTTACCGAGTTGGAAAAAAACGCTTCCTTCCATGTTCATGATGGGGCTATTTCTAACGCCATTCGTTTCATAAAGGTAATGCTGGGGCGCTGATCTGTAGCTCCTTGCCATTGGCCAGAAAAGCTTTGCTTTTATTTTAAAGGAAGAGTTGGTACTAGTTACGTGACAAGCATAGTGCGTAATCTGCTGTTTCCTTCCCACAGAACGTTACCCATTTATTAACCTCAGATAGAGCATAGGCGAGTTCCCCAATCGTGACTCGAACCCCGGACCTCTCGGTTCTGGGTCCAACATTTTACCGACTGAGCAACTCCGGTCTGACGCAACATTTGGTAAATTTTCCTTGCTTAAGGGAATTTGTGGTTGAAACCTGCCCTCGGGCGGAATCGAATCCGGCACCTCAGCAATTGAAAGCTCACTTCTTACGGATTGTGCCACCACGCCGAGTCTACCGAGTTTAAATACAAGCAAGCTGAAATGAAGATTAATTTGCGTAATTATTTCATCTCTAGGTGGCCAGCAGACAGCTTTTTCTTCTTGGCCAGATTTCTCATTGCTGTGGAATGAAAGAGTAGAGTGAACATTGGTAAAATACGTTTTGACTTGAATTGCATTAATATTACTGTCAATACTAGCGCCCATAGAATGAGAAAAAGGTTTCATCCAAAGTGTAAAAATTCCGTAGGATTGACTGAGAAAGTTTTAGTTTTGGCATTTGGATATCAAGCTTTCATTGTTAACGGCTGATGGCTTGGTTGTAATTTGGAGAAGATGGTACCGCGTTATTTGTCGACGTTGGATGATCTTCAGTGTAAAGATTATATTGGCGAAAAGGACACGCTGTCAAAACAAAGTAAATTCTTTCCTTGGGACACCTGATTAATCTACTTGTATTTTTTATCATGGCTCTACTGGGATAGGATGACAGCAAAACAGGAAACAGAGCACTTTGAAACAAAACGTTTTTAGTGGTGCCACCATCACTAGCTTTACAATTGTTGCCTACTTTACCAACTTACCAACCAGTTCTACGTTGGCGATCATCTAGCATAGACTGCTAAAACGGAATCATGTTTCCCTATCTACAGCCATGCTGCGAACTTGGTATCGATGAGGACTAATAATCGAAACTCGGGTAATTACGCACAGTGTGACTTACTTAAAGTGATTCTCTATCTTGAAATGTAAGGCCACTACGCTTATTGATCCAGATCCAAAACTGAATTCGTGTTAAACTATTTAGTTAAACAGTAATCGATGACGTTCATATAAATGTAATATGCATATAAATTCAAATAGGTTTATAAACTTTGATCAACATATAATGCTTGGTCCCCTGAAAACTCTGGAAGAACCACGTTTTGTAGTACTCTAACGTATTGAAACAGAATTTATAATGTTCGTTACTCGTAACGAGAAATGCAAGGTTTGGTGTCTGCGCTTGGTTTCACGAAGGAAATCTAATGAAGCTGGAAAACATTCACGGCGATTGAAATTAATATAACGTTGAACATTTATATTTATATTTTAGTTCCCGTATTCTCTGACCGAATACAGGGCTCTCACGTCATCATATTGTCATCTGTGCGCTCATTCCGCCAGTAGTTCTGCGGTAGCTACTGGTCACAACTCGCCACTGTTCCCTCTGCCGCCAGCACCGTCGCTGACGCAGAATGTACAGGTTTTCGACGTTTCTAGTCAAGACAATGGCCTGTCGTCGACGGCTAGCGGAGGTCAGCTCAGTGTCAACCTTGACGACCTATATTGCAGGGTTGTGTTCAATGTCACTATACCTCATGGCCATAACGCGATCGCTCTTACAGATGAGCGAACTGAATGAGACAGTCGAGACGAAAATGGACCAGATCTGCAACACTATGCAGTCGTTCTTTGGCTTACAGTCTCAGCGGCACGGGATTATGACGGCTGACCGGCGATTCGCTAACGTGCTTAACCAAAAACTGGCCGAGTTGCAGAATCAGGCATACATAACTACTCACTATTCTCATTTTCATGTTGATGGATTTCCGGTCAATTATAGCTGCTTACTCGAAATCGGGAACGCTTAGCCACCAACGTTGGCTATTCTACGAAGTCTTTCGAAAGTGCAGTCACCAAGTTGGAAGCAAAGGTACAAAGTGAGACCGATAACCCGTTAATTTCCATTTCGCCATATTTTCCATTTTAACCGCAGTATTCGCAATGTTCATTTACGGAACAGTAAACTCTATAAGATACGACGATTTTAAGGTAGTCTTGTTCATTTTACGCTTAGGACTTGTAGCAATCCTCCCAAAAATGTTTCCGGTTGACCAGCTTGTGTATAAATCATTTCCGTTCTATCATTTTTCTCTTTTTTGCAATATTTCGTTGCAGAACGACGAATACTTTATGCTACATACGTAGGTAGTGACATTTTGAAGAAGAAAACGCCCTATCGTTCTACAAATTTTTAGCACTCCTCCCCCTCGCTTCATCTTCTTCATCATCATCGCCGCTTCTCCTTTCGGGTCGCGGAGGCAGACGCGTCACAGACCTTCCAACGTTCCCGATCCTGTGCCAGGGTCTGAGCTTCGGCATAAGACAACTGGAGTCTGGGGCAGAGCCCTTCCATATATTTGCACCAGGTTAGGTTAATCTTGGCCATCCTCCGGGCTTTATGCCGGCCGGTTTCGCAAGAAACAGTTGCTTAGCTTTTCTTTCTGGAGGGATTACCAGTGCATGCCCAAACCATCGCAGCAGTGACTTCTCAATCTGGAGTAGCAGAGGGTGTACACCAACGTTCTTCCGGATGTCAGTATTCCGGACAATGTTGAGACTGGTCTAAGGAAGCCCATTTCAGCACCTTGTACCTGGGTTCGAAGTTTTTCATTGATGGTCCACGATTCATGACCGTAGCTAAGTATGGGGATAAAGATCGACTTGAATATTGAGAGC